CCTCTTTCCATCACCCCCGTCCCATTCTCCCGCTTTCCATCACCCCGCCCCCATTCTCCCTCTATCCATCACCCCGCCCAATTCTCCCACTTTCCATCACCCCGTCCCATTCCCCCGTTTTCCATCACCCCGCCCCATTCTCTCGCTTTCCCTCACCCCGCCTTATTCTCCCGCTTTCCACTCACCCCATCCCATTCTCCCGATTTCCATCACCCCGCCCCATTCTCCCGCTTTCCATCACCTCGCCCCATTTCTCCCGCTTTCCATCACCCCGCCCCATTCTCCCGCTTTCCAACACCCCACCTTATTCTCCCGCTTTCCATCACCCCGCCCCATTCTCTCCGCTTTCCATCACCCTCGCCCATTCTCCCGCTTTCCATCACCCCGTCCCATTCTCCCCTCTTTCCATCACCCCGCCCCATTCGCCCGCTTTCCATCACCCCGCCCCATTCTTCCTCTTTCCATCTCCCCCGCCCCATTCTCCCTCTTTCCATCACCCCGCCCCATTCTCCCTCTTTCCATCACCCCGCCCCATTCTCCCTCTTTCCATCACCCTGCCCCATTCTCCCGATTTCAGTCACCCCGCCCCCATTCTCCCTCTTTCCATCACCCCGCCCCATTCTCCCGATTTCCGTCACCCCGCCCCATTCTCCCTCTTTCCATCACCCCGCCCCATTTCTTCCTCTTTCCATCTCCGGCCCCATTCTCCCTCTTTCCATCACCCCGCCCCATTCGCCCCGCTTTCCATCACCCCGCCCCATTCTTCCTCTTTCCATCTCCCCGCCCCATTCTCCCTCTTTCCATCACCCCGCCCCCATTCTCCCTCTTTCCATCACCTCGCCCCATTCTCCCTCTTTCCATCACCCCGCCCCATTCTCCCGATTTCAGTCACCCCGCCCCATTCTCCCTCTTTCCATCACCCCGCCCCATTCTCCCGATTTCCGTCACCCCGCCCCATTCTCCCTCTTTCCATCACCCCGCCCCATTCTTCCTCTTTCCATCTCCCCGCCCCATTCTCCCTCTTTCCATCTCCCCGCCCCATTCTCCCAATTTCAGTCACCCCGCCCCATTCTCCCTCTTTCCATCACCCCGCCCATTCTCCCGATTTCCGTCACCCCGCCCCATTCTCCCGCTTTCCATCACCCCGCCCCCATTCTTCCTCTTTCCATCACCCCGCCCCATTCTCCCTCTTTCCATCATCCCGCCCCTAGGGAAAGGCGCCCCTAGAGATAGGCGCCCATAGAGATAAGCGCCCCTAGAGATGGGCGCCCATAGAGATAGGCGCCTCTAGAGATAGGCGCGAGGCGCCCATAGAGATAGGCGCCCATAGAGATAGGCGCCCCTAGAGATAGGCGCCCATAGAGATAGGCGCCCATAGAGATAGGCGCCCCTAGAGACAGGCGCCCCTAGAGATAGGCGCCCATAGAGATAGGCGCCTCTAGAGATAGACGCCCATAGAGATAGGCGCCCCCTAGAGATATGCGCCCATAGAGATAGGCGCCCCTAGAGATAGTCGCCCCTATAGTTAGAGATAGTCGCCCCTAGAGATAGGGCCCCTATAGATAGGCGCCCCTATAGATAGGCGCCTCTAGAGATAGGCGCCCATAGAGGTAGGCGCCCATAGAGATAGGCGCCCATAGAGATAGGCGCCCATAGAGATAGGCGCCCCTAGAGATAGGCGCCCCTAGAGATAGGGCCCCCTATAGATAGGCGCCCCTATTGATAGGCGCCTCTAGAGGTAGGCGCCCATAGAGGTAGGCGCCCATAGAGATAGGCGCCCCTAGAGATAGGCGCCCATAGAGATAGGCGCCCATAGAGATAGGCACCCATAGAGATAGGCGCCCTTATGGATAGGAGCCCCTAGAGATAGGCGCCCCTAGAGATAGGCGCCCCTGGAGATAGGCGCCCCTAGAGATAGGTGCCCCTAGAGATAGGTGCCCGTAAAGAGGGGCGCTCATAGAGATAGGCGCCTCTAGAGTTTGGCGCCCCTAAAGAGAGGTGCCCATAGAGATAGGCGCCCATAGAGATAGGCACCCCTAGAGATAGGCGCCCATAGAGATAGGCGCCCATAGAGATAGGCGCCTAAAGAGATAGCGGCCCATAGAGATAGGCGCCCATAGAGATAGGCACCCATAGAGATAGGCACCCATCGAGATAGGCGCCCATAGAGATAGGCGCCCATAGAGATATGCGCCCTTAGAGACTAGCGCTCCTAGAGATAGGCGCCCCTAGAGATAGGCGCTTCTTGAGATAGGCGCCCATAGAGATAGGCGCCCCTAGAGATAGGCGCCCATAGAGATAGGCGCCCCTAGAGATAGGCGCCACTAGAGATAGGCGCCCCTAGAGATAGGCGCCCATAGAGATAGGCGCCCATAGATGTAGGCGCCCATAGAGATAGGCGCCCATAGAGATAGGCGCCCCTAGAGATAGGCGCACATAGAGATAGGCGCCCATAGAGATAGGCGCCCCTAGAGACAGGCGCCCTAGAGATAGTGCCCCTAGAGATAGTCGCCCCGAGAGATAGGCCCCCTTAGAGATAGGGGCCCCTAGAGATAGTCGCCCCTAGAGATAGTCACCCATAGAGATAGGCGCCCCTAGAGGTAGGCGCCCCTAGAGATAGTTGCCCATAGAGATAGGCGCCCATAGAGATAGGCGCCCTTAGAGATAGGAGCCCATAGAGATAGGCGCCCCTAGAGATAGGTGCCCATAGAGATAGGCCCCCCCCCTAGAGACAGGCGCCCCCAGGGAAAAGGCGCCCCTAGAGATAGGCGCCCATAGAGATAGGCGCCCCTAGAGATGGGCGCCCATAGAGATAGGCGCCTCTAGAGATAGGCGTGATGCGCCCATAGAGATAGGCGCCAATAGAGATAGGCGCCCCTAGAGATAGGGGCCCATAGAGATAGGCGCCCATAGAGATAGGCGCCCCTAGAAGACAGGCGCCCCTAGAGATAGGCGCCCATAGAGATAGGCGCCTCTAGAGATAGACGCCCATAGAGATAGGCGCCCCTAGAGATATGCGCCCATAGAGATAGGCGCCCCTAGAGATAGTCGCACCTAGAGATAGGGGCCCCTAGAGATAGGAGCCCCTATAGATAGGCGCCTCTAGAGTATCAGGCGCCCATAGAGGTAGGCGCCCATTAGATGATAGGCGCCCATAGAGATAGGCGCCCATAGAGATAGGCGCCCCTAGAGATCAGGCGCCCATAGAGATAGGGCCCCCTAGAGATAGGCGCCCCCTATAGATAGGCGCCCTCTAGAGATAGGCGCCTCTAGAGGTAGGCGCCCATAGAGGTAGGCGCCCATAGAGATAGGCGCCCCTAGAGGATAGGCGCCCATAGAGATAGGCGCCCATAGAGATAGGCGCCCATAGAGATAGGCGCCCTATGGATAGGAGCCCATAGAGATAGGCGCCCCTAGAGACTAGGCGCCGCGCCCCCTAGAGATAGGTGCCCCTAGAGATAGGCGCCCGTAAAGAGGGGCGCTCATAGAGATAGGCGCCTCTAGAGTTTGGCGCCCCTAAAGAGAGGTGCCCATAGAGATAGGCGCCCATAGAGATAGGCGCCCATAGAGATAGGCGCCCATAGAGAATAGGCCCCTTAGGAGATAGCGCCCCTTGGGATAGGGCGCCCATAGAGATAGCCGCCCCTAGAGATAGGCGCCCATAGAGATAGGCGCCCATAGAGATAGGGTTCCTTAGAGATTAGGCGCCCATAGAGATATGCGCCCGTAAAGATAGGCGCTCCCTAGAGATAGGCGCCCCTAGAGATAGGCGCCCCTAGAGATAGGCGCCATAGAGATAGGCGCCCCTAGAGATAGGCGCCACTAGAGATAGGCGCCCCTAGAGATAGCGCTAGGGCCACATAGAGATAGGGCCAACCCCTAGAGATAGGCGTCCATAGAGATGGGCGCCCATAAAGAAGGCGCCCATAGAGATATGCGCCCATAGAGATAGGCGCCCATAGAGAAAGGCGCCCATAGAGATATGCGCCCATAGAGATAGGCGCCCATAGAGATAGGCGCCCATAGAGATAGCTGCCCATAGAGATAGGCGCCCATAGAGATAGGCGCCCATAGAGATAGGCGCCCATAGAGATAGGCGCCCATAGAGATAGGCGCCCATAGAGATAGGCCCCCATAGAGATAGGCGCCCATAGAGATAGGCGCCCATAGAGATAGGCGCCCATAGAGATAGGCGCCCATAGAGATAGGCGCCCATAGAGATAGGCGCCCATAGAGATAGGCGCCCATAGAGATAGGCGCCCATAGAGATAGGCGCCCTTAGAGATAGGCGCCCCTAGAGATAGGCGCCCCTAGAGATAGGCACCCCTAGAGATAGGCGCCCATAGAGATAGGCGCCCCTAGAGATAGGCGCCCATAGAGATAGGCGCCCCTAGAGATAGGCGCCACTAGAGATAGGCGCCCCTAGAGATAGGCGCCCATAGAGATAGGCGCCCATAGAGATAGGCGCCCATAGAGATAGGCGCCCATAGAGATAGGCGCCCATAGAGATAGGCGCCCATAGAGATAGGCGCCCATAGAGATAGGCGCCCATAGAGATAGGCGCCCATAGAGATAGGCGCCCATAGAGATAGGCGCCCCTAGAGATAGGCGCCCCTAGAGATAGGCACCCATAGAGATAGGCGCCCATAGAGATAGGCGCCCCATAGAGATAGGTGCCCCTAGAGATGGCGCCCATAGAGATAGGCGCCCCTAGAGATAGTCGCCATAGAGATAGGCGCCCATAGAGATAGGCGCCCATAGAGATAGGCGCCCATAAAGATAGGCGCCATAGAGATAGGCGCCCCTAGAGATAGGCGCCCCTAGAGTATAGGCGCCCATAGAGATAGGCGCCCCATACGAGATAGGCGCCCATAGAGATAGGTGCCCCTAGAGATTGGCGCCTATAGAGATATGCGCCCCTAAAGATAGGGCGCTCCATAGAGCTAGGCAACCCTAGAGATAGGGGCCACTAGAGATAGGCGCCCCTAGAAGATAGGCGCTCATAGAGATAGGCGCCCATAGAGATAGGCGCCCATAGAGATAGGGCGCCCTAGAGATAGGCGCTCATCTAGAGATAGGCGCCCATTAGAGATAGGCGCCCATAGAGATAGGCGCCCATAGAGATAGCGCCCATAGAGATTAGGCGCCCCTAGAGAATAGTCGGCCCATAGAGATAGGCGCCCATTAGAGATAGGCGCCCATAGAGATAGGCGCCCCATAGAGTATAGGCGCCCATAGAGATAGGCGCCCATAGAGATAGGCGCCCATAGAGATAGGCGCCCCATAGAGAGCGGCCCTAGAGGCTTGGCAATGGCGCCCATAGAGATAGGCGCCCCTAGAGATAGGTCGCCCATAGAGATAGGCGCCCATAGAGATAGGTGCCCATAGAGATAGGCGCCCATAAAGATAGGCGCCCATAGAGATAGGCGCCCCTAGAGATAGGCGCCCCTAGAGATAGGCGCCCATAGAGATAGGCGCCCATAGAGATAGGCGCCTCATAGCGATAGGTGCCCCTAGAGATGGCGCCTATAGAGATAGGGCCCCTAGAAGATCCTAGAGATAGGCGCCACCTAGAGATAGGCGCCACCTAGAGTAGAGATAGGCGCCCATACGAGATAGGCGCCCCTAGAGATAGGCGCCCATAGAGATAGTGCGCCCATGGAGCATAGGCGGCCCATAGAGTATAGGCGCCCATATGTAGATAGGCGCCCATAGGAGATAGGCGCCCATAGAGATAGGCGCCCATAGAGATAGGGCGCCATAGAGATAGGCGCCCATAGAGAATAGGCGCCCATAGAGATAGGCGCCCATAGAGATAGGCGCCCATAGAGATAGGCGCCCCTAGAGATAGGCGCCCCTAGAGATACGCGCCCTTAGAGATAGGCGCCCATAGAGATAGGCGCCCATAGAGATAGGCGCCCATAGAGATAGGCGCCCATAGAGATAGGCGCCCATAGAGATAGGTGCCCCTAGAGATTGGCGCCCATAGAGATATGCGCCCCTAGGGATAGGCGCTCCTAGAGATAGGCGCCCCTAGAGATAGGCGCCCCTAGAGATAGGCGCCCATAGAGATAGGCGCCCCTAGAGATAGGCGCCACTAGAGATAGGCGCCCCTAGAGATAGGCGTCCATAGAGATAGGCACCCCTAGAGATAGGCGCCCATAGAGATAGGCCGCCCATAGAGATAGGCGCCCATAGAGATAGGTGCCCCTAGAGATTGGCGCCCATAGAGATATTCGCCCCTAGAGATAGGCGCTCCTAGAGATAGGCGCCCCTAGAGATAGGCGCCCCTAGAGATAGGCGACCATAGAGATAGGCGCCCCTAGAGATAGGCGCCACTAGAGATAGGCGCCCCTAGAGATAGGCGTCCATAAAGATAGGCACCCCTAGAGATAGGCGCCCATAGAGATAGGCGCCCATAGAGATAGGCGCCCATAGAGATAGGCGCCCATAGAGGTAGGCCCCCATAGAGATAGGCGCCCATAGCGATAGGCGCCCATAGAGATAGGCGCCCATAGAGATAGGCGCCCATAGAGATAGGCGCCCATGGAGATAGGCGCCCCTAGAGATAGGCGCCCATAGAGATATGCGCCCCTAGAGATAGATGCCACTAGAGATAGGCGCCCCTAGAGTAAGGCGCCCATAGAGATAGGCGCCCATAGAGATAGGCGCCCAAAGAGATAGGCGCCCATAGAGATAGGCGCCCATAGAGATAGGCGCCCATAGAGATAGGCGCCCATAGAGATAGGCGCCCCTAGAGATATGCGCCCATAGAGAAAGGCGCCCCTAGAGATAGTCGCCCCTAGAGATAGGGGCCCCTAGAGATAGGCGCCCCTATAGATAGGCGCCTCTAGAGATAGGCGCCCATAGAGGTAGGCGCCCATAGAGATAGGCGCCCATAGAGATAGGCGCCCATAGAGATAGGCGCCCCTAGAGATAGGCGCCCATAGAGATAGGGCCCCCTAGAGATAGGCGCCCCTGTAGATAGGCGCCTCTAGAGATAGGCGCCTCTAGAGGTAGGCGCCCATAGAGGTAGGCGCCCATAGAGATAGGCGCCCCTAGAGATAGGCGCCCATAGAGATAGGCGCCCATAGAGATAGGCGCCCATAGAGATAGGCGCCCTTATGGATAGGAGCCCATAGAGATAGGCGCCCCTAGACATAGGCGCCGCGCCCCTAGAGATAGGTGCCCCTAGAGATAGGCGCCCGTAAAGAGGGGCGCTCATAGAGATAGGCGCCTCTAGAGTTTGGCGCCCCTAAAGAGAGGTGCCCATAGAGATAGGCGCCCATAGAGATAGGCGCCCATAGAGATAGGCGCCCATAGAGATAGGCACCCCTAGAGATAGGCGCCCCTTGAGATAGACGCCCATAGAGATAGCCGCCCCTAGAGATAGGCGCCCATAGAGATAGGCGCCCATAGAGATAGGTTCCCTTAGAGATTGGCGCCCATAGAGATATGCGCCCCTAAAGATAGGCGCTCCTAGAGATAGGCGCCCCTAGAGATAGGCGCCCCTAGAGATAGGCGCCCATAGAGATAGGCGCCCCTAGAGATAGGCGCCACTAGAGATAGGCGCCCCTAGAGATAGGCGCACATGGAGATTGGCACCCCTAGAGATAGGCGCCCATAGAGATGGGCGCCCATAGAGATAGGCGCCCATAGAGATAGGCGCCCATAGAGATAGGCGCCCATAGAGATAGGCGCCCATAGAGATATGCGCCCAATAGACACGCACGCATATAGGCGCCCATAGAGATAGGCGCCCATAGAGATAGGCGCCCATAGAGATAGGCGCCCATAGAGATAGGCGCCCATAGAGATAGGCGCCCATAGAGATAGGCGCCCATAGAGATAGGCCCCCATAGAGATAGGGGCCCATAGAGATAGGCGCCCATAGAGATAGGCGCCCATAGAGATAGGCGCCCATAGAGATAGGCGCCCATAGAGATAGGCACCCATAGAGATAGGCGCCCATAGAGATAGGCGCCCATAGAGATATGCGCCCTTAGAGATAGGCGCTCCTAGAGATAGGCGCCCCTAGAGATAGGCACTTCTAGAGATAGGCGCCCATAGAGATAGGCGCCCCTGGAGATAGGCGCCCATAGAGATAGGCGCCCCTAGAGATAGGCGCCACTAGAGATAGGCGCCCCTAGAGATAGGCGCCCATAGAGATAGGCGCCCATAGAGATAGGCGCCCATAGAGATAGGCGCCCATAGAGATAGGCGCCCATAGAGATAGGCGCCCATAGAGATAGGCGCCCATAGAGATAGGCGCCCATAGAGATAGGCGCCCATAGAGATAGACGCCCATAGAGATAGGCGCCCCTAGAGATAGGCGCCCCTAGAGATAGGCACCCATAGAGATAGGCGCCCATAGAGATAGGCGCCCATAGAGATAGGTGCCCCTAGAGATTGGCGCCCATAGAGATAGGCGCCCCTAGAGATAGGCGCCCATAGAGATAGGCGCCCATAGAGATAGGCGCCCATAGAGATAGGCGCCCATAAAGATAGGCGCCCATAGAGATAGGCGCCCCTAGAGATAGGCGCCCCTAGAGATAGGCGCCCATAGAGATAGGCGCCCATAGAGATAGGCGCCCATAGAGATAGGTGCCCCTAGAGATTGGCGCCTATAGAGATATGCGCCCCTAGAGATAGGCGCTCCTAGAGATAGGCAACCCTAGAGATAGGCGCCACTAGAGATAGGCGCCCCTAGAGGATAGGCGCCCCATAGAGATAGGCGCCCATAGAGATAGGCGCCCAATAGGCGCCCATAAAGATAGGCGCCCATGGAGATAGGCGCCCATAGAGATAGGCGCCCATAGAGATAGGCGCCCATAGAGATAGGCGCCCATAGAGATAGGCGCCCATAGAGATAGGCGCCCCTAGAGATAGGCGCCCCTAGAGATAGGCGCCCATAGAGATAGGCGCCCATAGAGATAGGCGCCCATAGAGATAGGCGCCCATAGAGATAGGCGCCCATAGAGATAGGCGCCCATAGAGATAGGTGCCCCTAGAGATTGGCGCCCATAGAGATAGGCGCCCCTAGAGATAGGCGCCCATAGAGATAGGCGCCCATAGAGATAGGCGCCCATAGAGATAGGCGCCCATAAAGATAGGCGCCCATAGAGATAGGCGCCCCTAGAGATAGGCGCCCCTACAGATAGGCGCCCATAGAGATAGGCGCCCATAGAGATAGGCGCCCATAGAGATAGGTGCCCCTAGAGATTGGCGCCTATAGATATGCGCCCCTAGCGCCCCTAGAGATAGGCGCCCTAGAGATAGGCACCCTAGAGATAGGCGCCACTAGAGATAGGCGCCCCTAGAGATAGGCGCCAATAGAGATAGGCGCCCATAGAGATAGGCGCCCATAGAGATAGGCGCCCATGGAGATAGGCGCCCATAGAGATAGGCGCCCATAGAGATAGGCGCCCATAGAGATAGGCGCCCATAGAGATAGGCGCCCATAGAGATAGGCGCCCATAGAGATAGGCGCCCATAGAGATAGGCGCCCCTAGAGATAGGCGCCCCTAGAGATAGGCGCCCATAGAGATAGGGCCCATAGAGATAGGCCCCATAGAGATAGGCGCCCATAGAGATAGGCGCCCATAGAGATAGGCGCCATAGAGATAGGCGCCCATAGAGATAGGTGCCCCTAGAGATTGGCGCCCATAGAGATATGCGCCCCTAGGATAGGCGCTCCCTAGAGATAGGCGCCCCTAGAGATAGGCGCCCCTAGAGATAGGCGCCCATAGAGATAGGCGCCCCTAGAGATAGGCGCCACTAGAGATAGGCGCCCCTAGAGATAGGCGTCCATAGAGATAGGCACCCCTAGAGATAGGCGCCCATAGAGATAGGCGCCCATAGAGATAGGCGCCCATAGAGATAGGTGCCCCTAGAGATTGGCGCCCATAGAGATATGCGCCCCTAGAGATAGGCGCTCCTAGAGATAGGCGCCCCTAGAGATAGGCGCCCCTAGAGATAGGCGACCATAGAGATAGGCGCCCCTTGAAATAGGCGCCACTAGAGATAGGCGCCCCTAGAGATAGGCGTCCATAGAGATAGGCACCCCTAGAGATAGGCGCCCATAGAGATAGGCGCCCATAGAGATAGGCGCCCATAGAGATAGGCGCCCATAGAGGTAGGCGCCCATAGAGATAGGCGCCCATAGAGATAGGCGCCCATAGAGATAGGCGCCCATAGAGATAGGCGCCCATAGAGATAGGCGCCCATGGAGATAGGCGCCCCTAGAGATAGGCGCCCATAGAGATATGCGCCCCTAGAGATAGATGCCACTAGAGATAGGCGCCCCTAGAGTAAGGCGCCCATAGAGATAGGCGCCCATAGAGATAGGCGCCCAAAGAGATAGGCGCCCATAGAGATAGGCGCCCATAGAGATAGGCGCCCATAGAGATAGGCGCCCATAGAGATAGGCGCCCATAGAGATAGGCGCCCCTAGAGATAGGCGCCACTAGAGATAGGCGCCCCTAGAGATAGGCGCACATAGAGATAGGCACCCCTAGAGATAGGCGCCCATAGAGATGGGCGCCCATAGAGATAGGCGCCCATAGAGATAGGCGCCCATAGAGATAGGCGCCCATAGAGATAGGCGCCCATAGAGATATGCGCCCATAGAGATAGGCGCCCATAGAGATAGGCGCCCATAGAGATAGGCGCCCATAGAGATAGGCGCCCATAGAGATAGGCGCCCATAGAGATAGGCGCCCATAGAGATAGGCGCCCATAGAGATAGGCCCCCATAGGATAGGCGCCCATAGAGATAGGCGCCCATAGAGATAGGCGCCCATAGAGATAGGCACCCATAGAGATAGGCGCCCATAGAGATAGGCGCCCATAGAGATAGGCACCCATAGAGATAGGCGCCCATAGAGAGAGGCGCCCATAGAGATATGCGCCCTTAGAGATAGGCGCTCCTAGAGATAGGCGCCCCTAGATTTAGGCGCCCCTGGAGATAGGCGCCCATAGAGATAGGCGCCCCTAGAGATAGGCGCCACTAGAGATAGGTGCCCCTAAAGATAGGCGCCCATAGAGATAGGCGCCCATGGAGATAGGCGCCCATAGAGATAGGCGCCCATAGAGATAGGCGCCCATAGAGATAGGCGCCCATAGAGATAGGCGCCCATAGAGATAGGCGCCCATAGAGATAGGCGCCCATAGAGATAGACGCCCATAGAGATAGGCGCCCCTAGAGATAGGCGCCCCTAGAGATAGGCACCCATAGAGATAGGCGCCCATAGAGATAGGCGCCCCTGGAGATAGGCGCCCATAGGCGCCCCTAGAGATAGGCGCCACTAGAGATAGGCGCCCCTAGAGATAGGCGCCCATAGAGATAGGCGCCCATAGAGATAGGCGCCCATAGAGATAGGCGCCCATAGAGATAGGCGCCCATAGAGATCGGCGCCCATAGAGATAGGCGCCCATAGAGATAGGCGCCCATAGAGATAGGCGCCCATAGAGATAGACGCCTATAGAGATAGGCGCCCCTAGAGATAGGCGCCCCTTAGAGATAGGCACCCCATAGAGATAGGCGCCCATAGAGATAGGCGCCCATAGAGATAGGTGCCCCTAGAGATTGGCGCCCATAGAGATAGGCGCCCCTAGAGATAGGCGCCCATAGAGATAGGCGCCCATAGAGATAGGCGCCCATAGAGATAGGCGCCCCTAAAGATAGGCGCCCATAGAGATAGGCGCCCCTAGAGATAGGCGCCCCTAGAGATAGGCGCCCATAGAGATAGGCGCCCATAGAGATAGGCGCCCATAGAGATAGGTGCCCCTAGAGATTGGCGCCTATAGAGATATGCGCCCCTAGAGATAGGCGCTCCTAGAGATAGGCAACCCTAGAGATAGGCGCCACTAGAGATAGGCGCCCCTAGAGATAGGCGCCCATAGAGATAGGCGCCCATAGAGATAGGCGCCCATAGAGATAGGCGCCCATGGAGATAGGCGCCCATAGAGATAGGCGCCCATAGAGATAGGCGCCCATAGAGATAGGCGCCCATAGAGATAGGCGCCCATAGAGATAGGCGCCCATAGAGATAGGCGCCCATAGAGATAGGCGCCCCTAGAGATAGGCGCCCCTAGAGATAGGCGCCCATAGAGATAGGCGCCCATAGAGATAGGCGCCCATAGAGATAGGCGCCCCTAAAGATAGGCGCCCATAGAGATAGGCGCCCCTAGAGATAGGCGCCCATAGAGATAGGCGCCCATAGAGATAGGCGCCCATAGAGATAGGTGCCCCTAGAGATTGGCGCCCATAGAGATATGTGCCCCTAGGGATAGGCGCTCCTAGAGATAGGCGCCCCTAGAGATAGGCGCCCCTAGAGATAGGCGCCCATAGAGATAGGCGCCCCTAGAGATAGGCGCCACTAGAGATAGGCGCCCCTAGAGATAGGCGTCCATAGAGATAGGCACCCCTAGAGATAGGCGCCCATAGAGATAGGCGCCCATAGAGATAGGCGCCCATAGAGATAGGTGCCCCTAGAGATTGGCGCCCATAGAGATATGCGCCCCTAGAGATAGGCGCTCCTAGAGATAGGCGCCCCTAGAGATAGGCGCCCCTAGAGATAGGCGACCATAGAGATAGGCGCCCCTAGAGATAGGCGCCACTAGAGATAGGCGCCCCTAGAGATAGGCGTCCATAGAGATAGGCACCCCTAGAGATAGGCGCCCATAGAGATAGGCGCCCATAGAGATAGGCGCCCATAGAGATAGGCGCCCATAGAGGTAGGCGCCCATAGAGATAGGCGCCCATAGAGATAGGCGCCCATAGAGATAGGCGCCCATAGAGATAGGCGCCCATAGAGATAGGCGCCCATGGAGATAGGCGCCCCTAGAGATAGGCGCCCATAGAGATATGCGCCCCTAGAGATAGGCACCCCTAGAGATAGGCGCCCCTAGAGATAGGCGCCCCTAGAGATAGGCGCCCATAGAGATAGGCGCCCCTAGAGATAGATGCCACTAGAGAAAGGCGCCCCTAGAGTAAGGCGCCCATAGAGAGAGGCGCCCATAGAGATAGGCGCCCAAAGAGATAGGCGCCCATAGAGATAGGCGCCCATAGAGATAGGCGCCCATAAAGATAGGTGCCCCTAGAGATTGGCGCCCATAGAGATATGCGCCCCTAGAGATAGGCGCTCATAGAGATAGGCGCCCCTAGAGATAGGCGCCCCTAGAGATAGGCGCCCATAGAGATAGGAGCCCCTAGAGATAGGCGCCCCTAGAGATAGGCGCCCGCGCCCCTAGAGATATGCGCTTATAGAGATAGGCCCCCCAAGAGATAGGCGTCCCTAGAGAAAGGCGCCCCTAGAGATAGGCGCCCATAGAGATAGGCGCCCCTAGAGATGGGCGCCCATAGAGATAGGCGCCTCTAGAGATAGGCGTGAGGCGCCCATAGAGATAGGCGCCCATAGAGATAGGCGCCCCTAGAGATAGGCGCCCATAGAGATAGGCGCCCATAGAGATAGGCGCCCCTAGAGACAGGCGCCCCTAGAGATAGGCGCCCATAGAGATAGGCGCCTCTAGAGATAGACGGCCATAGAGATAGGCGCCCCTAGAGATATGCGCCCATAGAGATAGGCGCCCCTAGAGATAGTCGCCCCTAGAGATAGGGGCCCCTAGAGATAGGCGCCCCTATAGATAGGCGCCTCTAGAGATAGGCGCCCATAGAGGTAGGCGCCCATAGAGATAGGCGCCCATAGAGATAGGCGCCCATAGAGATAGGCGCCCCTAGAGATAGGCGCCCCTAGAGATAGGGCCCCCTAGAGATAGGCGCCCCTATAGATAGGCGCCTCTAGAGATAGGCGCCTCTAGAGGTAGGCGCCCATAGAGGTAGGCGCCCATAGAGATAGGCGCCCCTAGAGATAGGCGCCCATAGAGATAGGCGCCCATAGAGATAGGCGCCCATAGAGATAGGCGCCCTTATGGATAGGAGCCCATAGAGATAGGTGCCCCTAGAGATAGGCGCCCCTGGAGATAGGCGCCCCTAGAGATAGGTGCCCCTAGAGATAGGCGCCCGTAAAGAGGGGCGCTCATAGAGATAGGCGCCTCTAGAGTTTGGCGCCCCTAAAGAGAGGTGCCCATAGAGATAGGCGCCCATAGAGATAGGCGCCCATAGAGATAGGCGCCCATAGAGATAGGCACCCCTAGAGATAGGCGCCCCTTGAGATAGACGCCCATAGAGATAGCCGCCCCTAGAGATAGGCGCCCATAGAGATAGGCGCCCATAGAGATTGGTGCCCTTAGAGATTGGCGCCCATAGAGATATGCGCCCCTAAAGATAGGCGCTCCTAGAGATAGGCGCCGCTAGAGATAGGCGCCCCTAGAGATAGGCGCCCATAGAGATAGGCGCCCCTAGAGATAGGCGCCACTAGAGATAGGCGCCCCTAGAGATAGGCGCACATAGAGATAGGCACCCCTAGAGATAGGCGCCCATAGAGATGGGCGCCCATAGGATAGGCGCCCATAGAGATAGGCGCCCGTAGAGATAGGCGCCCATAGAGATAGGCGCCCATAGAGATATGCGCCCATAGAGATAGGCGCCCATAGAGATAGGCGCCCATAGAGATAGGCGCCCATAGAGATAGGCGCCCATAGAGATAGGCGCCCATAGAGATAGGCGCCCATAGAGATAGGCCCCCATAGAGATAGGCGCCCATAGAGATAGGCGCCCATAGAGATAGGCGCCCATAGAGATAGGCGCCCATAGAGATAGGCGCCCATAGAGATAGGCACCCATAGAGATAGGCGCCCATAGAGATAGGCGCCCATAGAGATATGCGCCCTTAGAGATAGGCGCTCCTAGAGATAGGCGCCCCTAGAGATAGGCGCTTCTAGAGATAGGCGCCCATAGAGATAGGCGCCCCTAGAGATAGGAGCCCATAGAGATAGGCGCCCCTAGAGATAGGCGCCACTAGAGATAGGCGCCCCTAGAGATAGGCGCCCATAGAGATAGGCGCCCATAGAGATAGGCGCCCATAGAGATAGGCGCCCATAGAGATAGGCGCCCATAGAGATAGGCGCCCATAGAGATAGGCGCCCATAGAGATAGGCGCCCATAGAGAAAGGCGCCCATAGAGATAGACGCCCATAGAGATAGGCGCCCCTAGAGATAGGCGCCCCTAGAGATAGGCACCCATAGAGATAGGCGCCCATAGAGATAGGCGCCCATAGAGATAGGTGCCCCTAGAGATTGGCGCCCTTAGAGATAGGCGCCCCTAGAGATAGGCGCCCATAGAGATAGGCGCCCATAGAGATAGGCGCCCATAGAGATAGGCGCCCATAGAGATAGGCGCCCATAGAGATAGGCGCCCCTAGAGATAGGCGCCCCTAGAGATAGGCGCCCATAGAGATAGGCGCCCATAGAGATAGGCGCCCATAGAGATAGGTGCCCCTAGAGATTGGCGCCTATAGAGATATGCGCCCCTAGAGATAGGCGCTCCTAGAGATAGGCAACCCTAAAGATAGGCGCCACTAGAGATAGGCGCCCCTAGAGATAGGCGCCCATAGAGATAGGCGCCCATAGAGATAGGCGCCCATAGAGATAGGCGCCCATAGAGATAGGCGCCCATAGAGATAGGCGCCCATAGAGATAGGAGCCCATAGAGATAGGCGCCCATAGAGATAGGCGCCCATAGAGATAGGCGCCCATAGAGATAGGCGCCCATAGAGATAGGCGCCCCTAGAGATAGGCGCCGCTAGAGATAGGCGCCCATAGAGATAGGCGCCCATAGAGATAGGCGCCCATAGAGATAGGCGCCCCTAAAGATAGGCGCCCATAGAGATAGGCGCCCCTAGAGATAGGCGCCCATAGAGATAGGCGCCCATAGAGATAGGCGCCCATAGAGATAGGTGCCCCTAGAGATTGGCGCCCATAGAGATATGCGCCCCTAGGGATAGGCGCTCCTAGAGATAGGCGCCCCTAGAGATAGGCGCCCCTAGAGATAGGCGCCCATAGAGATAGGCGCCCATAGAGATAGGCGCCCATAGAGGTAGGCGCCCATAGAGATAGGCGCCCATAGAGATAGGCGCCCATAGAGATAGGCGCCCATAGAGATAGGCGCCCATAGAGATAGGCGCCCATGGAGATAGGCGCCCCTAGAGATAGGCGCCCATAGAGATATGCGCCCCTAGAGATAGGCACCCCTAGAGATAGGCGCCCCTAGAGATAGGCGCCCCTAGAGATAGGCGCCCATAGAGATAGGCGCCCCTAGAGATAGGCGCCACTAGAGATAGGCGCCCCTAGAGATAGGCGCCCATAGAGATAGGCGCCCATAGAGATAGGCGCCCAAAGAGATAGGCGCCCATAGAGATAGGCGCCCATAGAGATAGGCGCCTATAGAGATAGGTGCCCCTAGAGATTGGCGCCCATAGAGATATGCGCCCCTAGAGATAGGTGCTCATAGAGATAGGCGCCCCTAGAGATAGGCGCCCCTAGAGATAGGCGCCCATAGAGATAGGAGCCCCTAGAGATAGGCGCCCCTAGAGATAGGCGCCCCTAGAGAAAGGCGCCCCTAGAGATATGCGCTTATAGAGATAGGCCCCCCAAGAGATAGGCGTCCCTAGAGAAAGGCGCCCCTAGAGATAGGCGCCCATGGAGATAGGCGCCCCTAGAGATAGTCGCCCTCAGAGATAGGCGCCCCTAGAGATGGGCGCCCATAGAGATAGGCGCCTCTATAGATAGGCGCGAGGCGCCCATAGAGATTGGCGCCCATACAGATAGGCGCCCCTAGAGATAGGGGTCCCTAGAGATAGGCGCCCCTATAGATAGGCCCCTCTAGAGATAGGCGCCCATAGAGATAGGAGCCCATAGAGATAGGCGCCCCTAGAGATAGGCGCCCCTAGAGTTAGGCGCCCATAGAGATAGGCGCCCATGGAGATAGGCGCCCCTAGAGATAGGCGCCCATAGAGATATGCGCCCCTAGAGATAGGCACCCCTAGAGATAGGCGCCCCTAGAGATAGGCGCCCCTAGAGATAGGCGCCACTAGAGATAGGCGCCCCTAGAGATAGGCGCCCATAGAGATAGGCGCCCATAGAGATAGGCGCCCAAAGAGATAGGCGCCCATAGAGATAGGCGCCCATAGAGATAGGCGCCCATAGAGATAGGTGCCCCTAGAGATTGGCGCCCATAGAGATATGCGCCCCTAGAGATAGGCGCTCATAGAGATAGGCGCCCCTAGAGATAGGCGCCCCTAGAGATAGGCGCCCATAGAGATAGGAGCCCCTAGAGATAGGCGCCCCTAGAGATATGCGCTTATAGAGATAGGCCCCCCAAGAGATAGGCGTCCCTAGAGAAAGGCGCCCCTAGAGATAGGCGCCCATAGAGATAGGCGCCCCTAGAGATAGTCGCCCTCAGAGATAGGCGCCCCTTGAGATGGGCGCCCATAGAGATAGGCGCCTCTATAGATAGGCGCGAGGCGCCCATAGAGATTGGCGCCCATACAGATAGGCGCCCCTAGAGATAGGGGTCCCTAGAGATAGGCGCCCCTATAGATAGGCGCCTCTAGAGATAGGTGCCCATAGAGATAGGCGCCCATAGAGATAGGCGCCCCTAGAGATAGGCGCCCCTAGAGTTAAGCGCCCATAGAGATAGGCGCCCATGGAGATAGGCGCCCCTAGAGATAGGCGCCCATAGAGATATGCGCCCCTAGAGATAGGCACCCCTAGAGATAGGCGCCCCTAGAGATAGGCGCCCCTAGAGATAGGCGCCCATAGAGATAGGCGCCCCTAGAGATAGGCGCCACTAGAGATAGGCGCCCCTAGAGATAGGCGCCCATAGAGATAGGCGCCCATAGAGTTAGGCGCCCAAAGAGATAGGCGCCCATAGAGATAGGCGCCCATAGAGATAGACGCCCATAGAGATAGGTGCCCCTAGAGATTGGCGCCCATAGAGATATGCGCCCCTAGAGATAGGCGCTCATAGAGATAGGCGCCCCTAGAGATAGGCGCCCCTAGAGATAGGCGCCCATAGAGATAGGAGCCCCTAGAGATAGGCGCCCCTAGAGATAGGCGCCCCTAGAGAAAGGCGCCCCTAGAGATATGCGCTTATAGAGATAGGCCCCCCAAGAGATAGGCGTCCCTAGAGAAAGGCGCCCCTAGAGATAGGCGCCCATAGAGATAGGCGCCCCTAGAGATAGTCGCCCTCAGAGATAGGCGCCCCTAGAGATGGGCGCCCATAGAGATAGGCGCCTCTATAGATAGGCGCGAGGCGCCCATAGAGATTGGCGCCCATACAGATAGGCGCCCCTAGAGATAGGGGTCCCTAGAGATAGGCGCCCCTATAGATAGGCGCCTCTAGAGATAGGCGCCCATAGAGATAGGCGCCCATAGAGATAGGCGCCCCTAGAGATAGGCGCCCCTAGAGTTAGGCGCCCATAGAGATAGGCGCCCATGGAGATAGGCGCCCCTAGAGATAGGCGCCCATAGAGATATGCGCCCCTAGAGATAGGCACCCCTAGAGATAGGCGCCCCTAGAGATAGGCGCCCCTAGAGATAGGCGCCCATAGAGATAGGCGCCCCTAGAGATAGGCGCCACTAGAGATAGGCGCCCCTAGAGATAGGCGCCCATAGAGATAGGCGCCCATAGAGATAGGCGCCCAAAGAGATAGGCGCCCATAGAGATAGGCGCCCATAGAGATAGACGCCCATAGAGATAGGTGCCCCTAGAGATTGGCGCCCATAGAGATATGCGCCCCTAGAGATAGGCACCCCTAGAGATAGGCGCCCCTAGAGATAGGCGCCCCTAGAGTTAGGCGCCCATAGAGATAGGCGCCCATAGAGATAGGCGCCCTTAGGGATAGGAGCCCATAGAGATAGGCGCCCATAGAGTTAGGCGCCCCTAGAGAAAGGCGCCCATAGAGATAGGCGCCCCTAGAGATAGTCGCCCTCTTAGATAGGCGCCCCTAGAGATGGGCGCCCATAGAGATAGGCGCCTCTATAGATAGGCGCGAGGCGCCCATAGAGATTGGCGCCCATACAGATAGGCGCCCCTAGAGATAGGGGTCCCTAGAGATAGGCGCCCCTATAGATAGGCGCCTCTAGAGATAGGCGCCCATAGAGATAGGCGCCCATAGAGATAGGCGCCCCTAGAGATAGGCGCCCCTAGAGTTAGGCGCCCATAGAGATAGGCACCCATAGAGATAGGCGCCCAAAGAGATAGGCGCCCATAAAGATAGGCGCCCATAGAGATAGGCGCCCATAGAGATAGGCGCCCATAGAGATATGTGCCCCTAGAGATTGGCGCCCATAGAGATATGCGCCCCTAGAGATAGGCGCTCATAGAGATAGGCGCCCCTAGAGATAGGCGCCCCTAGAGATAGGCTTCCATAGAGATAGGAGCCCCTAGAGATAGGCGCCCCTAGAGATAGGCGCCCCTAGAGAAAGGCGCCCCTAGAGATATGCGCTTATAGAGATAGGCCCCCCAAGAGATAGGCGTCCCTAGAGAAAGGCGCCCCTAGAGATAGGCGCCCATAGAGATAGGCGCCCCTAGAGATAGTCGCCCTCAGAGATAGGCGCCCCTAGAGATGGGCGCCCATAGAGATAGGCGCCTCTATAGATAGGCGCGAGGCGCCCATAGAGATTGGCGCCCATACAGATAGGCGCCCCTAGAGATAGGGGTCCCTAGAGATAGGCGCCCCTATAAATAGGCGCCTCTAGAGATAGGCGCCCATAGAGATAGGCGCCCATAGAGATAGGCGCCCCTAGAGATAGGGGCCCCTAGAGATAGGCGCCCATAGAGATAGGCGCCCATAGAAATAGGCGCCCCTAGAGATAGGCGCCCTAAGAGATAGGCGCTCCTTGAGAGAGGCGCCCCTAGAGATAGGCGCCCATAGAGATAGGCGCCCCTAGAGATAGGCGCCCTCAGAGATAGGCGCCCCTAGAGATAGGCGCCCCTAGAGATAGGCGCCTCTAGAGATAGGCGCCCCTAGAGATAGGCGCCCCTAGAGATAGGCGCCCCTAGAGATAGGGGCACATAGAGATAGGCGCCCATAGAGATAGGCGCCCTTAGAGATAAGAGCCCATAGAGATAGGCCCCCCAAGAGATAGGCGCCCCTAGAGAAAGGCGCCCCTAGAGATAGGCGCCCATAGAGATAGGCGCCCCTAGAGATAGGCGCCCTCAGAGATCGGCGTCCCTAGAGATGGGTGCCCATAGAGATAGGCGCCTCTAGAGATAGGCGCGAGGCACCCATAGAGATAGGCGCCCATAGAGATAGGCGCCCCTAGAGATAGGCGCCGCTGGAGATAGGCGCCCCTAGAGATAGGCACCCCTAGAGATAGGCGCGCATAGAGATAGGCGCCCCTAGAGATAGGGGCCCCTAGAGATAGGCGCCCCTAGAGATAGGCACCCCTAGAGATAGGCGCCCATAGAGATAGGCGCCCATAGAGATAGGCGCCCTTAGAGATAGGAGCCCCTAGAGATAGGCGCCCCTAGAGATAGGCGCCCCTAAAGATAGGCCCCCCAAGAGATAGGCGCCCCTAGAGAAAGGGGCCCCTAGACATATGCACCCATAGAGATAGGAGCCCCTAGAGAAAGGCGCCCCTAGAGATATGCGCTTATAGAGATAGGCCCCCCAAGAGATAGGCGTCCCTAGAGAAAGGCGCCCCTAGAGATAGGCGCCCATAGAGATAGGCGCCTCTAGAGATAGTCGCCCTCAGAGATAGGCGCCC